TAATATCTTTTCATAATTACTACATTTACTCCTAATTTTTAGATGTAGCATATTGTATCACGTAATACTAATTTCATTGATCAACATTTCAATTTATGATTACATTTCTATTATGAGATCATTTCTGCGATTATGATGAATATTAATTATGCTTTTTGTATCACATTTCTGATCATGTGATTTGCTATGCCACATTTTCATTTAAGTAATAGTATATTCTGAAAATTATTGAATTCTTTTTTTCTTTATTTTCTTTTTTTTTAGGAAATTCTTTTTTTGAAACTAAGATAAGCTTTTGAAGGTGATTTTTAGTAATTTGCTAACTGTTTTCTTTATTTTTTCTTTATTTTTTTTAGAAATACATTAAAATAAGCCTTTTAGAGATATTCTTTTGATAGTTTTTTACAGTTTTCTTTATTTTTTTCTTTACTTTTTTTATAAATACATAAAGGTAAGTAAATTAGAAGTGTTTTTTTTTTGATAATTTTCTAACTGTTTTCTTTATTTTTTATTTATTTACTTTTTTAAAAATACATTAAGGTAACCCGTTTAAATGTAATATTTTGATAGTTTTTTAACGTTTTCTTCTTTTTTTTCTTAAAAAATCAAATGTATATTTTTTGAATAAATATATTCTTTTTGAGTAATTTATTATATAAATATAAAATAAAATTATAAATAATAAATAAATAAAAATTAAGGTTTATTAGTTCCAGTTTTATAAATAGTTACTTAATTGATTTTTTGCTATTTTTAAGTTGATTTTTGATTGATTTTAAGCTGATTTATGCTAAATTTTAAACATAAATGCTAATTTATAACTGATTTTCTATTTATTCAAAATGCTAATTTTTGGCAATAATCAGTAAAATTAGATTATATTTTAGCTAACTTTCAGTACTTTAAAATATAACGAATTGTATTATTTTATCTAGTGATATATCAAATAACTACTAATCATTAAATGATGATTTTTTATTGAATAGTAGTTATATTAGGCAATTTTAACTATAACTAAAATGCTATTTTTGGTAATGATCAGCAAAAATTAGACTATATTTTAACAAATATTTAGCACTTTAAAAACTTTAAAAAGTGATGAAATGGATTATTTTAACTAGTAAAAGGGTTAGATAAAATTCTAAATACTTAAAAAATATCAAATTTTATTATTAAATCTTCATTAAACAGTTTGACTTTGTTTTAAGTATATATGAATATATGCTCTAGGATAATTAAAGTATAATCTAATTAAAAAAAGTATGATAATATTATTCAGTAAATTTGTTAATATTATTTTACTAATTGATCACTTTAGTATACATTTAAATACATAATATAAATTTACAGATTTAGAATTGGTTTTTAAAATTATTACTATATAGGAAAGGTACTTTATAAAATTTAGCATTATAATTTAATTTTTATAAAAAAATTAATATTTATTATATAGATAAATTTATGAATCTATTTAAGTATATACAATTTAAAGAAATAAAAAAAAAAGGTTAAAAAATTAAAAAGAAGGAAAAGTAAAAATCAAAAAAATTAAAAAATCAGATAAAGAAATAACATATACCTTTTTTAAATATTTTGTATTATGATTTTAGATTAAAATCTACTGTAAATTTTGCATTTATTTTCTTGATATCAAATGATACATAAATATCAGTTATTGTAAACCATCTAAAGCTAAGAAAACAATAAATCTTTTACCTATAAAATGGTTATTTATCACCTATTATCAAAGCTAAAGATGATCAGTTTACTAATTTTATTTACTCTTTTCAAATATAACAATCTTGTGAAAATACTAAAATATTATATATATTATACATTAATTAAAAAAATACATACTTATAACTTTACTACTCTATTTGCTAAATAATATTTTTCTATACTTGTATTTTTAGTAAATTATAAGTGACAGATATATTTTACTATTTATGTACAGTTTACAAAATATTAAAAACAACTAAGTATTTAAAGAACTGGAAAAGGTAATAAAAATACTTAAATTTTAATAAATTATATTTTTCTTTTTTAACAAAAAAAATTGTATGATAAAATAAAGATTAAATTAAGAGCTTATAATTTAAATAAAGAATATTAAAAATTCAACTTAAAAAAAAACAATTTTATTAAAAATAAAAAAGTGAACTTTTTTAAGTTATTTAAGAAAAAATGTCTTAAATTTTTTTAAATATATATGTATTTGTAATTCATATAAGTGTTGAATAAGTTTTATTGAGTCTTCATAATATTAAGTATTATTATCACATTTCTAAAAGGTCATATAGTATGATGATTATTTTTTATATTATGCTTATTATAAATCTATTAAAAAATCATTTATATTAGATGGCTTTTTTTTTAAGCTTAATTATATAAAATTTTACATACACTGAAATATATCTTTCTTCATTTAAATAACTTTGGCAGTCAGTTTATTTTATAAGCAACTTATATACTATTTGTTACTAAGCTTATAATGATAAATTTGTATATAAAAAATGTATGTTACAAGATATTTTATTTTTATTTTTTTTATATTACTAATTACATATATTTACTAATTCACTTTCTATAATTAAATCTATCAATACTTTTTTATTTACTTCTTCTATTCTATCATTTTCTTATATTTCTTCCAACTCTCTATTTTTTTTAGTAAGTAAAATAGAACCTTTTTCTAATTTTTGTAAAAAGGATTTAACATTTATTACAATACCTTTTATAATAATTTTCACTAATAATATATTCTGAAATTTCTCCACCTGCTTCTTCTAATCATTTATGTTCTTTACCAACTTTTTTTTTTTTTTTAAAATCATTATTTTTATACCTTTTCTCAAACCATCTTCTCATGCTTACTCTTAGCATTAATTAATTCTTTTTTAATTTCTTTTAATGTTGTCATTTTTTAAGATTAAAAAGATTTAAAAAATTAGATCATAATTGTTACAATTAATTGTTTCTATAAATAAATTAGACCAATGATATATTAATATATAATATAAAATTTTTTTTTTTTACAAACAATGAATTAAACTTTAATTCAACTAACAATAGAAAGATATATAAATAATTTATAAAATATAAGTTAAATAATGGAAGAAAATATTTGGATTAAATATTACCTATCCTTTAGACTAACAAAAATCCAACTTTCACTATTACTATTGTTATTACTATTATCAATAATATTATTACTAATATTCATATTATAATGACCAATATCTAAATATCCTAATTAGGTTACTTTCACCTATACTTGATGCTTTACTTTTCCACCGCCTCGACCGGAATAACTAAACTCTATTTAAAGGACTGAAATTACTTAATTAACTTTAAATAGTTAAAACCTTAATTTTGAAATCATCTTACATTTACAATATAATATTATCATCATTAAAGCGAAAGAATTTTCTTGGAATGTAAACAACTCTATTTTTTAGTGATCAAGTTTATTTTAAATAAATAAATAAATATATATGCTATATCTTGCTAAAATTATTGGGGAGCAAAGGATCAATAATTTCTTCATTTGATCCCTGGTAACACTAATTAATGTTCACTTTATTAGTTTATAAAATCAATAATTACATGAAAAATCTGGGCTGATGATTTGATTCAATCATCATTTTACGAAAGAAGTCTAACCAAATATGAATGGTCTAATAACTGTTATCTCTGGTCCCATGTTTGCGGGAAAGACTAAAAGGTTGATTGAGTATTACCACGACTTAAAAAAAACCAATAAAAAATACTCGCTTTCAAGCATGCATAAAAATTTACGCTATTTTATAGGAACATGATTAGATAAATCATTCAGGGGATGAAAAGATCATGATCTCATCGATTAATTAACGAGCAAAAGAGAAAAAAATTATGAGCGACAACATGCATTGTTTATCGCTTTCTACAAAACATACATAAAGTGATAAGTTTCATAATTAGTCTTTGAACAATGAAGAAAAAAAAACATTAATAAAATTTACCTTTAGAAAAGAACCATCTCGTCCGAAAGACGTAATCAAAATAACATGATTAACCAAATATTTGTGATTTACTTTGTTTGTTCACAAGACAAACTTTGAAAAATTTAGAAATATTTTTTAATTAATAAACAGTATATTTGCAAGAAATTTTAGCAGATCTGAGATCTTATCTGAAATCTAACCAATATAAATCTATTTTGGAAAAATAAAATAATCCTATCATCTGATTTAAAAGAATCATCATCCTTTTAATTTATACCAAAAATAAAATTACCGGGATTTACCGAATGAATTATTGTTTTATTCTCTTATTAACTATATTTATTCGTAACCTTGCGGTTGTGGCCTGGCCCTACATTTAAAACTAATGAATTGACGCCACAGATGATATACATTACATGCTTTTATGTATTGTATTCAAACATATGACATGACATCAAATATTTCATACATGGAAACATTTTCACAAAGAAAAATTTTCCTAATACAATTCGTAGTAGCAAATTTTTTTTATTTATGGATATTTTCCCCGACCTTGTCTCCTTGTGTTACTTGGAAAAAGAGATCTTGAAATTGATTTTTGATTCAAAATTGATACGGATAAATATCCGGTAATTTTAAAAAAAAAAAAACTTCTCGGCCTTGACCATATTTAGAAAATGACATTTCACAAATGAGGATCACACGTCAAATTTGTCTCATCTTTGATTACATCACTTTACGTATAACTGAATGCCTTTTTTTTCCCCCTGCACACTGACGTTCTCGTCTTCCGTGTTAAACTATATATTATTAAACCTTTATTTTAAACAGATAAAGTGTGCTTATTAAACGAAATATATATTTTTTTTCCTTCTCATTCTGACCTCAGTAGACTTATTTTAAGAATATTGGTACAAGGATCAATACTTTGAAAGTTTCAAGAAAACTTTTTATTTATTTTAAAGTAAAATACTCATATTTAGATCACTATTTCTTTTTGAAACTTCAGATTTTAAAATGCCAATGATTGAACAATTAAAAAACTTTATTCGTCATGGAAAGCAGGCAATTAAACATGATAACAATTATGGTAATAATGACCGCTATCCAAAGTCTCCTGTTGAGATAGAAAATTTTCGCGACCACCCTGAAATTAAAACAAGGGTAGATAATTCTTCTGCAATACAACAAATAGTAGCTGAGGAAAGAGAGCAAAGGAATAAAATGCCTACATATCCCGGCTTGGAACGATATCATATATTAGATAAAATGGGAGAGTATGTGATAGTCAATCAATCAAATAATCGATTCGATATATATAAAATACATTCATTGATTCTTAATTTATTATCTTTTAAAAAGCGGCGCATTCAGTAACGTATACAGAGCATTTGATACTTTGACTCAAGAGAAAGTGGCAATCAAAGTAGTCAGAAAGCATGAGTTAAATCATTCACAGGTACGAGGATATTTGGTTTTGGTGTGTGGTGGAAGTTTCCAGAATTTTTTTAGTGGCCAACTAGCCACCTAATAGAGTGAAAACGATAAGAAATTCACGGCAGTCTTGGCAAGAGCGCGCAATGTACTCAAGGTGACTTGATTCGGGCTCACTTTGACTTCATTCGGATATGGGTCTTCATGAACGTAGAATTTCCACACTGAAATCAATTTTTTTAATAACGTCCCCATCCACTTCTGCTCCTCCATGTCTTGTATAAAATCGGCATCGAGTAGGAGAAGCATCTTCATCGTGACATGAAAAAGAAGTCTCGTGCAATTGAGGTTAGGCTTTTCTTTATAAAGTTTTTTTTTTTTTTTAAAAAAAAAAAAAAAATATTTGGTATAGAGAAGTTAAACAAAAAGACACAAAATGCAAAATTTTTTTTTTGGATTCAGAATGTGAGGAAGGATGTTCGTAAATGAACTTCAACCTCTCATTCTTGCCGAATTTGATAATATTATTCGAATATGCAACTTACATGATATACTGTCTTATATTTCCTATAGCGGTCGAACATTCTCAAGGAAGTCCAAATAATGCGCCAATTGAAACATCCTTCGATCGTATCTCTATTGTCTTTTTCGGAGTCTCCGGATTATTACTATCTTGTTCTCGAATTAATGGAAGGTGGCGAATTATTCCATCAAATAGTGAAACTTACCTATTTCTCGGAACAATTATCACGTCATGTTATTGTTCAAGTTGCCGAAGGAATAAGATATTTGCATGAAGAAAAAGGAGTTGTCCATAGGTAGGATGATTTCTAAGATTTTAAAAATTTTAAATTTAGGGAATGAGTTTACATATTTATCTGTGATTCAAAAAAAAATTTTTGATTAGGGACATCAAACCTGAAAATCTTTTATTTGAGCCCATCCCATTCATTCCTTCAAAAAATCCACCAATTCCTGGACCAAATGATGAACATAAAGAGGATGAGGGTGAATTCATTCCTGGATTAGGTGGTGGAGGTATTGGAAAGATCAAAATCGCCGATTTCGGTCTATCTAAAATTGTTTGGGACGAGCAAACAATGACTCCATGCGGTACAGTTGGGTATACTGCACCCGAAATTGTAAAAGATGAAAGGTATAGTAAAAGTGTTGATATGTGGGCGCTTGGTTGTGTCTTATATACAATGCTGTGTGGTTTTCCACCTTTCTACGATGAAAGTATTAATGACTTGACTGACAAAGTTGTCAAAGGTCAATATACTTTCTTAAGCCCATGGTGGGATGATATCTCCGCTTCATGTACGTTATTAAAATTTATATTCTAATGGTTATCTTATTTAAATGCTTTGTGCTCAAAATTATAACATTCTAACTTGATAACTTAAAATAGCCAAAGATTTGATATCAAATCTTCTTGCAGTTGATCCTGAGAAACGTTATACCATTAATCAATTTTTTGACCATCCGTGGGTTAAGGACGAGGTAACTTTATTTAAAAAGTCATACATTACTTTAAAACTTACTTTATTAATGGATCTTGTGAAAATGAACAGCCGTTACTTCCGAAATCCAAACTTGCATTAGACAATAAGAGTAAAGTCGAAATCAGACAACGTTACACGGGTATTGATTCACCTCTTGTATATGAAGAAATGTCTGGTGAAAATTTCAGACGGCAAGATATACTTTCACCGGGCATTTCCTTAAAGGAAGCACTTGAAGTTACTTATGCCGTACACCGTATGGAAGAGGAGAATGCGAAAAGAAGAAAAATGAAAATTAGTGGACATGGAGGAAAGAGCTTAGCTTTGAACCCATTTAAAGGTAGATTACATTTGAATGATGAAGACGACGACAATGGCGAAGAAAACTCATCGGCAGCTTCATCGGTTCATCAAGTACCAATAAGTGGAACAGCATCAATGACGAATCATGCTTCAAATGAACCCATTAAAATGAAAACTGGTTCAAAAGTTACCTTCATGCAACCTACATCTTCGTCCAAACGTAATAAGGAAATACCTAGACGTATGGCTTTTGAGTTAAGTTTAGATGGTGCTACGCTACTATGCAGACGAAAAAAAGCTTTAGGGACTGTTGAAGTTTGATAAATTTCTTATATATCATATATAATATTACAAAAGGGAATCAACTAGCTTCATTTAATGTATATACAGCTTTGATCTCTTATTTTTTATTTTTATTTTATTTTTATTATTATTTTTTTTTTTTTATTATTTCGGATTTTTTTTTTTTTTATTTAATTATTAGCTATTCAAAAAAACCAAAAAAATCGCTAATAATGGTTGCATCATCATAATTAAGCTCACGTTACTGTACTACTTTCATGAAATAATAAATTAGGAAAGTTGATTTGTGGGAATATTTTAATGTAAGGGGAAGGTCATTTTAAAATTTTGATAAACTGGCTTTAAACCGGTTTCGAAATAACCAATAAATCATTCGATAACTTTCATATGATTCAAAAAAAAAATTCCTTTTATATATTTTTGATTCAAACCTATACCCGACATATCTTTGGGTCATTGGTCCATCTAATACTAACTTAATGATTAATGAGTGAAACATATCTCCTGTTTTCCACGGTGGTACGAGTGGAGGTGGCGCGTATTACAAAAAAAAAAATTTGAAACATTTTATTTATTTTTTAGGAAAAAATTAGATCATCCGGTGCTGCGGAGGTACAAGTCGACAAGATTTTCGAACTCATAATATAATTTGTCAAGACAAAAATATTAAGCAAAAAGAAAAATGATGTAGCCAAAACGATGATTTCGATAAAATTATTTTTCGGGTTAGCACGCGATCAATTTTTTTATTACACATCGAGATCATGTTCCAATTATTCAATTTTCATATCTAATGGAATTATAAATACAAATTTTTTATCTATAATTGAACTTTATAATTAAATGTAAAATAATCATTAATTAAAATTAAAATATTAAATGGGGGAATAGACATTTAAGCGGCACGAGCCTGAGCAATTCGGTCCAAACGTTCTTGTTCAGTTGCTATTTATAATTAAAGAAAAGCATATAAAGTTAATATCAATAGGTTATTCTTTCTTAAAAAAAAAAAGTTAACTAATACTTACCGCAAACCAAGGAAACTCCACGAGAATTGACCAAAGGAAGTACAACACAAGACAAACCGGCATTACATTTGTCAAGACTCCAAACGTTTACTAGTTCACCTGCATCGTTAAGAGTAGTGAAGCATTTAGCAAAAGAACTGTCTATACAAGCTTGATCATTTGGTTGACATGGTGTATTAACCGTGAAAGTTTTAAATTGTTCAAATAAAGCAACCGCTTTATCAGCGTTTTCGTTTCGTATAGTTTTTAATTCATCTTGTGCAAAAATAGAAATGGAACATGAGAGAACTAATGCTAATGTGACGAAGAATTTCATTTCGATTAAATTTATTTTTATTATTATTTTTTTTTTTTACGTTCGAAAAGTGGTGAAATTTATAACCTTTTCAGGTACCTTGACGAGATCTCTCGAAATAATATTTTAGGATAAGTTCAAACATATTAAATACATAAATTTGCATGATTTTTTTTTTGTATTATGAAAGCTTCGCTTCTTTCCTATATTGTTTTTATCCTCCAACAATATAATAAATAATAAATAGTATAATGCAGGAATTACAGTAAATGCAATATTTAAAAATGGAAATGGATAATGATTTACCATAAAAGTCGTTTATTTATATGAATTATTTCACTTTAAAAAAAATATGCAAGAAATTTAACACTATATACGCCAAACCAACTTTGCGTTTTTATTTATCCCCCCCCATTTTTTCTTTCAATCATCTTTTATTAAAAAAAAAAAAAAAAAAAAAAAAAAAAAAGGATATTGTATTATATATACAAAATTGGATTTTCCGTAATAATATTCTGTGATTAATTAAAACTTTAAAATAAGGAGTAGTGTAACAAAAATTAGAGAAAGTAAAAATTTGTTGAACGAACATATGAGAGATTAAAATCATAATATTTATTAAGTCTCATCATAACTTGATCTTAATAACAAATACGATCCATATATTCCATGAGAGAGTCGGAAAGAAACATTTGGAATAATTACATTCAAACTCAAATGGCTTTACTCTCATTGACAATAAACTGTAATCCCTCACCATTTTTTTCCATAAAAGGTTATTTGATTTTAATATTAAAATCAGATAATTCAGGAAGCAATGTTTTATAATTTTCATGTTTTATAATTTTATTTTAGTATAGAGTATAATAACCTTAATAGCTAGCTATACATGATATCCAAATTATATGTTCCCATGTATGGTGGGGAAAAAAAATAATATCGTTATAACGAATTGCTTTAAGGTGGAAGATTGTGTAAAAGTCGGATGAGGTTAAATGGCGATTTTCAGAGACTTTTTGGAGTAGTGACAGTTGGAGATTAAAGTAAAAGTAAAAAAAAGTACATTTTCTGGTTGCCAATATCACTAACGCAAAATTAAACAAAAGACAAATGTTGATAAAAGTATCGCCTAGAAATTCTAGATACAACAATATAAATCTTCTGGGAAAACTATTCATTGATTTCGTAAAGGTATAACCGATTGTGATGATAGCGATGACAGCAAACAAATGTCGAAGGTAAAATGAAAAAGGCTTTGAGGAAATTTTGAAACCTTAAGAGAAGAAATGCTCCAATCCAAGTTGTTGAAGGCAAAAGACAAAGGAGACTCTCTAATCCAAGTTGTTGATGACGAAGAAATGGAGAGAAAGGCAAAAAGAAAAGCAAAGGGTTGGATTTTTAATATAGGTTGGATAAGTCGGAGCTGGTTTAAATAACTATAAATTGGTTCTTTGCTGCAAATATCACGCATTTAAGTTATTATAGTATTATTAATCATTGTGTCAAGCAAATAACAAAGAACAATTTTTTACATGAATAATTTTAAAAGAAATAAAACCAAACCAATCAAGCAAAACTTTCTTTATTATTTTTCAGAAAAAGAAATGATAAAATTGAGAAACGACTCGAGCCATAACCCATAATATGTGAATACCTTTCAATGTTATTTAATTAACTTTACATTGCTAAATTTCCTCCGCCATAATAAAAAATTTTCACAATATTCCAGTAATTCACGAATTTCACGTCTCACAGTTTAAAACGCATAATTCGTTGAATATTCTTTCTCTTTATTCGCATCAAATTCTTGCTTAAAATGACCCAATTTCTTCAAGAGATTAATCGAATGATGGACTAGAAGAATTTCTAGAAGAGCTTCCAGATGCAGGACTTGAAGTTTTAGATTGATCCTCACTACCTGAGATCTTTGAACAATTGCGTAATTTTGAATATTCCATTTCAGAGAGCTTCAATAGAAGCATTGATTGAAATGAATTTTCAGATCTGTCAAAATCATTACGTTCAATGGTATAAAGTCTTGTGGTTAATGACGTGACCATTAATAAATTTTATGTGCTTCTGTGTCGTAGCCAGCAATTTCTGCGGTAACTTTATCAACAATTTTGGCATATAATATTTTCTGCCAAGTTCCGCAATAAAAATAGAATTAACTTCAGACATACGTGCGGAATCTTCGTTGACAATTTTAGTATTAATTTCTGCAAAAAGATCTTTTTCCGATTTCCGATGTATTAATATTTGCATCAATTTCATTGGCGATTTTATGGACACGCGCGGAGAGTTCTTTGGAGAATTGTTTTCTAGTAGCATAGCACAAATCAAATAACAAGCGCAAGATGCAAAATACAACGCTTTGCTTTGTAACATGACTGCAGACATATTTTACAGGTAAAAATAGCAAAAATAGCACTATTATTATTAAAATTTTAAATTTGCATAAATTCCATTAAAAATATGGAATTCGGATTTTTATGAGTTAAGGTGAGTTTGAAGATTATTAAATTAAGACTTTTGAGATTGCTGTTCATATATAATAATGAATAGAAATATTAAAATCTTTTAGGTATTAAATAATATGGTAAGATACCTTTAAGATATATAAAATGAAATCAATACTGACTTGATCTTATTCAAGAGCGAGAGCTTTGTTTTTATATTAGTAATCTCATTAAATAAAGTCAATATTAAATTATTGATAGTATTAACTGTATTTGTAGAGATAAAATCACTTTTTTTAGTTGTAAATTCTTATTATTTTAAATAAAAATAATTCATTAAATTAAGCGCAATATATTTAAATGCATGTCAATATCTAGATTTAGGATTATGTTTGTATGTTAATGTTTCTCAATCAGTTTTCATGCTTTATAAATGCATAATATCATTCAAAAACAACGTACCATAAGTCATTGCTATATATAATTTATTATAATAGGGACATTATTTCAGTGTCTATTATAAATTTAAGGAGTATTCGTTGATTTTACATAATTTCCCAAAAGATTTACAAATCATATAAAAGGTGAGGCCTTAGTTAGTAAATCCATAAAACAAAAAGAAATCAAACGAAATATTCAAGCTTAACATTATTTACTATTATTGATATCAACAATCAAACAAACTTGTATAATCCATAATAAATTTGATTACTCATCCTGATCCGATTGATACTTCGATCATTTTGTGTAACTTGCCGTGAGACTCTATTGGTTTAATTTGTCAGAACATTTAAAATTTGAGCTTCCAACAATTAAGCTTCAAACATTATTCCAAAGGATGTTCATGAACTTAAACACGAAAAATTAATTATACTTGGTTAACTTTGATGTTAACTACTTCAATTTCAATAAACTAGCTTATAACATTTCCTACAACTAAGGTAACGAACAAGAAATAAGAACTAATTATGGTTTTATGCGTATACTTTTCCTTCAACCTGTGCGAGTGATAAGGAAAGTTGTAGAGTATTGGTCGACCAAATGAGTATAGTATATCACGTGAAATAGTTTTGAGTATATTCTTATTAGGTGTTACAAAAAGGAGTGGAGTCAGGTGGAGGTGATGAGTATAGTATGTCACGTGAAAAGCTATTGAGTATAATTCAAAAAATTTACTATACTCATCTGTATGTATATTAGCATTCGAAAGAAGTGGTGTATGCTTCATATTTATATATATTTATACTCAACTGCCTTATTATAATTAATTTTTATTATACTAAACAGAAAAAGGTCACCATACAATACTCAATTGATCGACCATACTCTACAACTTTCCGTCTTACCTAACCTGTGCTGCTATGATTTCAAAGGAATATCTTGAATATCTTGCTAAATGAATGAATTATACTTGCATTTCCTTGTTGTTGCCAGTATTGTACTTAAATTTGTAAGTTACTAGATAGGGCTTCCAATTCGTATTTTAATGATATTCCTCCGTTAGAATGATCATACCTGGTTTTTTTGGATGCGACAAAATTAGCCTGAATGTCTACTAATAAAGGCGTATCATACGCTGAGAACTCTGCATTGCAGAAACGGTATTGTAACATCCTAAAAAAAATTCTTAACGAGGAACGTGACAATGAGCGAGGCAAAGTTGCGTCTTTACTGTTACAGAAGGTATGATATATTTTATGTCACTCTTTCTGAACCAGGAGCTGTACAACCTTGGAGGGTGCTGTTCCTACAGTGCAGAGTCCTGTTGTCTCACAGCTTTGGGGGTGCCGTTCCTAGTGAGACATACGTTCGTAATTGTAGTAGTAAATATTTTCTTTAAAATGAGCTATTCCTATTTGCAAAGTTAATTATATTTTTTTTTAAGGATGAAGCGGATGTGATAAAGGAATTCTGAAAATGCGTCAATCTTGAAAAAAAAGTCGCATATCGTGAGTATGTTTCATTTTTATCTTTACCCTCAATTGTACTCTGTTAACCAGTTATCTCCCTAGATCTCTTTTAAGTGGAAAACAGAATTAGACGCATTAGAAGTTCTCAATACTGCTTGAACCAAGAAAATGAGCATCCTAATTGACCAGTTTGAACAAGAGAAAATTCACTGCGAGGATTTTGTTGCTCACAATATGGTAGGTTTGTTTCGATTTCATTAAACACATTATTAGATTATCAAGACCTGATGCAGTGACTCTTTCCCTCTATGAACGTGCAACAAACTTCCATCATTTCCAAGTCTGATAATGTCGATGAGGAAATTAAAACTGAAGAAGAGATTGAATGAATTATTGCGACATCTTTGTCTGGTGATGAATTCATTTGCAAAGATATGGAATTATTTACGCAACGGTAAGAATCCTTTTACTCTTGCTTAAACTTCAGTTTTTGTGGAGGTCACCTGAATATATATTTAATGCTATAACAAATGATAAATAAGAAGTGGAAGCTTAGGACAGGAAGGTTTGTTGAAGATGTTTTGTATGACTTGGAAAAAAAGTACATATATTACAAGTTTGTGTTGTATTTACATTTCACAATGAATTATTTGGTCACTAATTAACTAATTTTATCGCATTTCAGTCTTATACACTCATTCATTATAAATTCAAGGGACAAATATGTCCAAACAGGATTTACTTCAACAGAAATCAATGAAATTATTAATAAGGAAATGGAGTTAATACCGGATATAGATGAAGAACGCCTAGCTTATATTAATAGTTTTGCAAAGGTAAATAAATAGTTGTTGCAATTTATTTCTTTTGTACTTAATAATTCAAACCAATTCATTGTAAAGGAATCAACAAGTAAGATACATGAAGCGTTGAATACACAACACTCTAAACTTGGTAAAGATTATCACATGAAAACCAATTTTCAATAAGAACGACCGTAGCAGATTGGTAAGTAGATGACTAACTCTCTTTGATCATAATGTTATTCTTTATTGTGTATAGAAATGCCAGAAAGCTGGTATCATATACACATATGGTGAACTATCGATATATCCTTTTCGGATATTCCATTATGATAGGGTAAATAAACGCAATATTTTTCGTTAAATATTAGAGGAAGAATAGGTCAAGAACATTAAATAATTCCAAAAAATGCAACGTAAAGTGATAGGAAGAAAAGGTGACGGGTATATTCGCACATTAGGATCTAGGCAACTGGATTAGGGAGCATCAGAAACAGGCCATGAGTGGAAAGAAGAATCTGACACAAAACTATTAAAAGAGGAAACTCTAAAAGACATCTTCATTGAGCTTTCCCGAAAGGTGGATTTTTATGAGGATAAAATTCGTAAAATAAATGCTCCAGGATTTATCCATTCAGGTATATATGATACCGATTATAATATTTATATGTTCTGCGATTCAGACTTACTTAACACTAATATTTTACAGGTGCTATAATGATAAAAGCTAATCTCAATTGTCTGGCCGGATATGTATGCTGGTACATGTTGGAATAGCCATGTGAAGTGTATGCTGATGTAAAAAATTTTTACAAAACATTAGATGTTCTTGTATCTATAATATATGCTAAGGTAAGAATCAACCTTATTATAATAAATTTCTCATCTTCCTCTCAACGATGCTAATTTTTACTATTCTTATATAGCTTGAAATATTTGAAATAATGAAAATTATTGATTTACAATGCTGGAAAAATAAAAGAAAAGTAAAAAAAGTAGACATTAGCATTTCTGAATGTCATCCGTCACCAAAGAAGAAAAAAACCCAGGCAGTAGTTATCTTTTTTTGTCTGAACTTGTATAAAACAATTAAACAACAATTGGAGAATCAGTATAAATCCTGAAATACATATGCAAAAGTAAATACGATTTTTATAGTAAATCAGCTCCTGCTTACAATTAGAATTATTAGAATTTGTTATTACAAACAAAATGATCATATATTTTGAAGATTTGCTTGATTTTCTGATTATTACGATATATTTATAAAAAAAAGTGAGTGTTAAAAAATTTTAATATTCTTTTTTACATTTCCCTAGTGTTGCTGGAAATGTTCATTGAATGCGATAAATCGATTGAAGCTTATATTCAAAGGTTATCAGCTGTCATTTTTTGGTTGCTTAATATGATGATCCTGGAATTTAATAAATCGGATAAAAAAAACACTGAATAAATTTTAACATCTTTTATCAATCTCTTAAACTTGGCTCGTCTTTTTGCTTATTCGAAACATGGCTTGTTCATATACATTGAAACCTTTAAAATACTTTTAGCTTTAATAAGTATTTTTAACTGAACACTGAAAATATTATTATTAATGACTCCTTAATTGAAGGGTTGATTTAAATTGTTAAATTAGACGATTACATCATAATAAGCTTAATAATGTTCTCCATCATATTGTCTTTGACAAAATCTCTTGAAACCTTTTCATCTCAAGAGTTCACAGTTATTTATACAGAATCCAGTAACATTCACAAATTCTGATTTATCTTTATTTTTTAGAATTCATTTTTGTTCTTATAATGTATATATTTATAAATTTGATTTATGTAATTTCTCCAGCGATTGTCTGCTATCTAGTTCAATAATCATATGGGGAAAATGACCTTCTGAGACTTAATAAATAATAAGTCTCAGAAGGTCATTATAACCTGTGCCTATCACGTGACTTTAAAAATTAGGCAGTTTATTTTTTGATTCTCGGAGAATTTTTCCGAAAAAATTAATTTATAGAATTCGAAATTAGGTATACATAAATAAATACGACTTCGTTTCCATGTAAATTTTTATATTCGTATTAATATATTACACTAGGGACTCGTTCCCACACGCGAAGCGTATTGGTTTTGACCTATCTGCTCCAAGAATTATTGTCCCCAATAGACATTTGATATGGGACTTTAGCTAAAACAATCTAGCAGGTGGTCCATATCCAGTTGTAGGGACCGAATCTCTTGCCCATCCAGCATTTCTTAGGTATGCACGGACTTCATAGAGTAGTATGGATTCTGGCGTACCTGTGTATAGTACTGTCTTGTAATGTTTATTTGCATTTTTCGTATCAATAAATTGGTAAGGAAGCATGAAGGATCTTGTATCGTCAGCACCAACCCTTTTAACTCGAACTTGAATTTTTATTAATAATATTCATTATAATAAAAAGCTAAATAACAAAGCAAAGATAATTATACAGATTAAAGAAAGTGCAAGTTTTAATATATCAAACCATATATTCTCCTCCATCATCAGAACGCTTGGAAAGTCATTTTCTCGCTGCGGGAATTTTAGGGAATAAAACTTCTTCACGAAGTAATGAATCAATTGGGACATAAAGAACGCCAGGCATTTCGAGATCGAGATCTCCACGTTGCTGTCTTGTCTTCTTTTCTCCATATTCAACTATTCTCTGTTTGTACACCAGCACCCAGTCTTCTTTATGATCATTAAACAATCCCTTGTCAAGACAATCGTAAAAATAAATAGAATTGAGTCCGTATTCTTGATCATCTTCAAGTACTTCGTTATCAGTGAAAGTCCAGAAGACTTGTTCTCTGGTGCATTGGGGCATAGAAGTAGGCCACCTAAAATTATTTCCCATACGATCTATAAAGACGTTAGCTAATTAAGCAATAGTATAATAAAATATATGAAGGAAATTTTTGTCGTACCTAAAAACCTCTGTGCCTCACCAGCCTTTTTTTCATACGCACGAAGGGAATTTAAAGTTTCGGGTGGATTGTCAAGAATAAGGGAGTCTAATCCTTCGATGATTTGATTTTCTTCAGTTGTGACCATATTTTTTTGTTTCGTATTAGCTGAAGTACCTTCAGCATTTCCAGCTGAAATGCCTTCGACATTAACAGCATCACCATTAACGGTCTTGCTTGTTGTGGTAATGATTGTAGACTTGCCTTTAACAGTAATTAGCAGAATATCAGTACAATATGATTGAAAGTTTCTACATTAAACCTTGCAAAAAACGAACCTTTCTTTTTAGAAATTATTTTTTTGAAATTTTTCATGGTTGTAACGAGTAAGGGGAAAATTCATGGAAAGTTTTCTAATAAATACTTTTTTTTGATTAATAGATCATTTAATTTATCAATAAAGTATGAGTATCCTAATCAGGGCATAAATTATTGACAAATTTTGACGATCACTATCTAAAAATCTAAAAGAGTGGCTCCACAGAAACAACTTGATATTGGAAGCCATACATAATCCAAAGCAATTTTTGAGTGTTAATCCCAACCAATATTCATTAAATCAGTTTCTTCTTAAGAAATATGATCCTCAAACCACAATATATAATAGATTATCAGCGTCGATAATTATGCAATACGGTAAATCAAGCTAATTATTTTTATGCAGTTTATGCAATTTGCATAAAATCATCGTCCCTCTGATCCTGATTGATGAATATTTAATTTATTAATAAAAGTTCGACAGATCATTTTTGTTCTTATATATAAATTTGATTTATGTAAATTCTCGATTGAGATCGATGAAAATTTCGGATGTTATCTAGTTCAATAATAGTATGACCTGTGCCTATCACGAGACTTAAAAAAATTAGGCAGTTTATTTTTTGATTGATTCTCGAGAATTTTCCGAGAAAATTAATTTATAGAATTCGTTTCCATGTAAATTTTTATATTCGTGTTAATATATTAATTACACTATCATGCTATTGACATGATTTTTTAGAAACCAATTAAATTCACTTAAAAAGAGCTTACAAGTTGTTTAACCGGTTGACGAGAGTTTTACATTCTAATTAGAGTCATTCGATTTTGTCGTATTACTTGATAATTTTTTCTTTTACGTAATTCGTTTACACAAGATATCAAATTTATTATCTAATAATAATATAACAATTAGTATAATATTGCGCCATTTAAATATTACTTATCAATTGGCTGTAAAGGTTGATAAATTTAATAGATTCATTGCAATATTAATTTTCCTACAATTCGATTTACTCAGCATAGTGTAAACGTGTATTTTTTCATGTGCGAAAAATAAATAAAAGTATTATTTTATTTTTTTTTATTATGTCATGATCTTTTCAATATATTCCCTTGAATTATTTGAACGTTTAATTATTGTACTTTGGTTTTATCATATTGTACAGTGCAAGCAATTTCACTACCTTTTCAATATACAGAACTGTACGTGTACAATTTAATTTAGTGAAAATTTGCATCTACAACCTTTTATTTTTAATTTTTATCATAGGATGCTAATTATATTCTACATAATCATTTACAAAAATAAAATAAAAAACTAATTATTAATTAATATTTAAACAAGTTATGTGAAATTTTTTATAAAGTTTATATATATATCATTGGTTTATAGATTTTTGCGTGCTTGGTCAAGACGACTTATGCGATCTTCTTCAGTTGCTATTAGAGGGAAAATATAATTAATTAAAAAATTCAAATTATTGAATAAATCAATAACAAGGTCCAATTAAAAAGAAAATTTTAAAATTGAAGTTCATCAAAAAATACTTACAACAAGTAATACTAGTACCGCATTTATTTACCAAAGGTGCGACAATACATATCAATCCACCACCACAAGCTTGAAGTTGAAATTCATTAACAAATTTTCCATCTTTAAGTACAGTAGCGCATTTAGCAAAAACGTCACCAATGCAAGCAATTTCATTAACTTGACATGCTTGAGCAGGTGTAAAGGTTGAGAATTTCGCTGTTAATGCCTCTGCATTATCAGCATTTATTTTTCTAAGCTCTGCTTTACCCACTCCTTCGTTACATGCATTTGGTGGTGGTGGCGGAACGAATGGATCTGATTTACCAGTTGCGCTAAATTTACCACGCGCCACATCCAATCGTCTATTACGATCTTCCTCGTTTGCTATTTCAAATAAGAAAATTTAATTTTTTATTATTATTATTTTTATCCTTTGTTTGGGTTATGGTAAACTGATACTCACTACAAGTGACGGATGTTCCAGGCTTCAATACCAAAGGGAGTACAAAACATTTTAAACCTCCACCACAAGGTTGAATAGAAAATTTATTAACAAGATTTCCATTTTCTATTACTTTATGACATTTAGCAAAATCTCCTCCAATACAGGCAACATTGTCTTCTTCACATTCTGAATCCTTAGTTAAGCTGTCGAATTTATTTTGTAATTCTTCTGCCAAGTCAGCATTTTTACTTTGGACTTCAGGAGATTGAGATGAAGAAAGAGTAACAAGAGCTGTAAGAGTAACGGCTAAAATTCCGATTACCTTCATTTTTGTTTTGATTGTTTTTAATTAACGTTAAAATAAAAAAATTTGATTCCAAGAAATAATCTTAAGTTATAAGAGAGCTAGAGATTTTCGGGGAATGGTAGACCTTTTTCACAAAAAAACGACCTTTTTTATAATTAAATTTTCTATAATTTTTTTTTTTAAATTACACGAATTTTATTTATTTATAAATATTCTTTATGAGTACAACATTCATTTTGGAACTCATGCCACTAAATTTCTGTATTAGGATTATTATTTATATTACTCGGTTTGACATATTATCATATTTGTTCATTATTGGTGATTTTCAATTTCAAATTCATGAATACTTTAAAAAAAAAGTCTTTTATTAGTATCGAATGACCACGCCCTTTTAGATTGTCTTTTAAAAGATTCGCGAATGGGATGATATCTTTTAAGATTTTTAAACCAAATTAATTCATTTATTCATGCAAATCTCATAACCCACTTTCTGAAAGGAATATGTTTTATGCAACCAAAAGGAATTAATTAACTTAATCTGGCTATTTCAATCAAATAAGTTTTAGGATGCTCCTTAAATTTAATTTTGTGAAATTATTTCTCGAATTCTTTCTCTTAGAAGAATTTAAAAAATAATGTTTTATACTTATGTTTACAATTTATCTAAATGAAAAATTAATTATTGCACGTTTAATTAAATTGAGGATTTTTCTTTTTTTGGATTTCTTTTTCTTTTTCTTCTCTCCTTTTTTTTTTTTTTTTTTTTAAAGAAAAAAATTTATTGTCCAAGTACTATTATAATCTATCATTTATGAAAGTACCCGTGAGTAGTGTAACATAAATAAATAAGTATTATTTATTTTTATTCTTTCTCTTTGTACTTTACCCCTCGTTAAATTGTTTGATATGCATGCATTATTCATTATTTCTAAAAATCAAACCTTCCACAAAATAAATTTCAAAATAATAATATTTTCAATTGTCGAATAAATTATTGTTTGTTTTTGTTATCTTGGATTCCCAACATAAGATCATCTTATTTATTGATACTTAATTTAAATGTTATATTTTTTTATTGGTTGAGAATCGCCATGTTGATATTTTGATGGTTATGAACTTGTTTAATTTTTCGAAAAAGAAATTGCTAGGTTACAAAATCTTTTAAATCTTTTGGAGAATATATATTCATTCATTGAAATATATCAAACAATTAAAAGTATAATACTTTGCAATTTATATAAAATTATGCTTAATAATTTTTAAATAAGTAAAATATTAAAAAAATTTATATATAAATAGGTTATATAAAGAATCTATATTAGATTTAAAATATAACTTGATAATAAAATAGTTAAAAAATAAAGTGCAATATGATAGTTATACACTATGTAATAAGTTTTTTTACTATGAATTTTAATTTGGGGATTTCACAATATTGTTTGGTTCATTTCACCCGACGATCAATTATTCATTTTTACCGTACCGTACAGGATTCATTTCGCCGAAAATCATTTATCGACTAATGGTCAAGGTGATAGACTACTTAAAAATGTTCCTAGTGCACCTTCGTGTCTTTCATCTAAGAACAGGAGGCCTCCTCTCCTCTGGTGAACATAAGCTGGTCTAGTATGTCGTTGCCCACCAGAGAAGAGTTCACCTGGTTACCAGGATCACGTTCCCACACTCGGAGCGTATTGGTTTTGACCCATCTACTCCAAGAGCGATTGTCACCAATTGATATTAGGAATGGGACAGTAGCTACAAACAATTTTGCTGGTGCTTCATATCTAGGTGTATGGACCGAAGTTCTTTCCCATCCAGAATTTCCTAGGTTTGCACGGACTTCATAGGGTAAAATGGTTTCTGGCGCACCTGTGTCTAGTACTGTCTTGTAATGTTTATTTGCATTTTTCGTATCAATAAATTGGTAAGGAAACATGAAGGATCTTGTATCGTCAGCATCAACTCTTTTAACTCGAACTTGAATCTTTATTAATAATATTCATTATAATAAAAAGCTAAATAACAAAGCAAAGATAATTATACAGATTAAAAAAAAAAGGCAAGTTTAAATCTATCAAACCATATATTCATCTCCATCACTAGAACGGTTGGAAAGTACTGCTCTTGCTGCGGGAATTTTAGGGAATTAAACTTCTTCACGAAGTAATGAATCAACTGGGACATAGGCATTTCACGATCGAGATCTCCCAGTTGCTGTCTTGTCTTCTTTTCTCCATATTCAACTATTCTCTGTTTGTACACCAGCACCCAGTCTTCTTTATGATCATTAAACAATCCCTTGTCAAGACAATCGTAAAAATAAATAGAATTGAGTCCGTATTCTTGATCATCTTCAAGTACTTCGTTATCAGTGAAAGTCCAGAAGACTTGTTCTCTGGTGCATTGGGGCATAGAAGTAGGCCACCTAAAATTATTTCCCATACGATCTATAAAGACGTTAGCTAATGAAGCAATAGAATAATAAAATATATGAAGAAAAATTTTGTCGTACCTAAAAACCTCTGTGCCTCACCAGCCTTTTTTTACGAAGAGAATTCAAAGTTTCGGGTGGAGTGTCAAGAAGAAGGGAGTCTAATCCTTCGATGATTTGATTTTCTTCAGCATTTCCAGCTGAAGTGCCTTCGACATTAATAGCTTCACCATTGACGGTCTCGCTCGTTAGGGTAATAATTGTAGACTTGCCTTTAGCTGTAATTAGCAGAATATCAGATTGAAAGTTTCTACATTAAACCTTGCAAAGAGCGAACCTCACTTTCTAGAAAATAATTTTTTGAAATTTTTCATGGTTGTAATGGTTGTAACGAGTAATGGGTCAGTCAACTCATGGCAAGTTTTCTAATAAATACTTTATTTTGGATTAATGCATCATTTATTTATCAATAAAGTTTGATATCCTGATCAGAAACGATGATTTTATGCTGCAATAAATCATTTTAAGTTGCATAAGCTTTTGCAATTTTTCATAAATTATGCGATAAAAAATTTCAATTATTAAATTATTTATGCGAAATTTTATTAGAAATTACATCACTATCTAAAAGAGAAATAATAATAATGGAAAAACTCCGCTCCACAGAACAACTTGATATTGGAAGCCATACATAATCCAAAGCAATTTTGAAAGTAATGGTAAATTTTGTGTTAATACCACCAATATTCATTTAAATCAGTTTCTTCTGAAGAATATGATAATATATAATAGATTATCAGTGTCGATAATGCGATAAATCAAGCTAATTATGTTTTATCAGTTTTATTATACAGTTTATAAAATTTGATAAAATCATCGTCCCTTTAATCCTGATTGATGAATTATCAAGTATCCTAGTGATTTTATGCCGCAAAAAATCATTTTAAGGTTCGAAGTATCAATCGAATCATATGATATGGATCACATGATCATTTTGACTAATACTGCGCCAAATTTCGCACCGATTTTCACTGAATACCATACATGTTAAAAGAATCAAGAAGAGTAATATGTCCCCTTTTTTTGGAACATCTATAGAGGTGGAAAAATCGATTAAAATCATGATGACATGTCACAAGAAACTAGCCGAGTAATCAAATTATTATCACCTTTGCGGATTATACAAGAATTAGATAACAAAAAGATATAATAATACCTTTGAAGTTATATAGGTATAATATAACAAATAACCCTTATATTAAATAAATTAAGATTTAAAAAGCATAGAATCACTAATATTAAGATACGATGATGTGTTCACGTGGAGTGAAAAACAATTCTGAGGTACACAATTACATAACCAAAGGTTATGTAATTTTGCAGACAACCTGTTTTAACCCCTTAATCATGATCGGATGAGCATTTGAGGATCGCTTTGGACTATTATAGAAAATCAAATAAACAAAACTCGGCGATTGCTTAATAAAGAAATCAAAAAGGTTGGTTATCAAGTGTATCGATGCCACATTTTTTTTATTATTTTTTATAAAAGGGTCGATTTAATAATTATTAATTCATGTGACCCAACCATTCACCAATCATATTCTAAACCATTAAAATGAAGTGAGTAATTGGAATTATAAATCATAATTTCCTTATAAAAACATAAGATTAATTTTCATTAATTTGATGTTTCATTTTAATTGTTATAGGTAAAAATCTGCAAATTTTCGGCGCTGGTGCAGTTACACTTTATAGCAATACCTGTAGTATAACCCCTTGTCATTTTAATACCTCCTTGCGCTTCAAAGGTTGCAGGAAGGTTGCAGGTCAAATTTTAATGTGCCTATTATATTTTCAACCTATGATTTTTTTTTTTTTGAAAATTTGTCGCAACGTTACACGAAATTTATTTCCTGGTGTAACGTTATTTATTTGAAAACTTACAATAAAGAATCTAAAAATAGTAAAATAGCAAACATTTTTTATTATATTCATGTGTGTGTTTTAAATCACCAAATAAGTTTGCAAACGAAAATATTTGATCATATAATCGGGAGGATTCTTTTCACTAGATCTTTGATTGTTGAAATGGGCTTTAAATTATAATTTGCTTTTCCCACATGTAAGCATTATGTTACACGACGTTCACCGGGCGTTGAACGAAGTAATTTGAGAAAAATTTGGGTTGAATGGACTTTATTAGGTACAAGGAAATTATTCGAAAAACTCTTTTCCCAAATCTTCAAGTATATAAAGAATTGAATATTGTATATTGTAGGAAAATTTCAAAATAATTTGTCAGATTTTATAAATTCGACGACTGCTTCGAGATATTTCACCTCCTTACGTTTTGCTATTTATTCTGAGCTGTGTCGGTTCCTTTGACAAGATATTCGTCCTAAATTTGAACATTTTTGATGCTCGTTGACAACGAAAAGCAACTTGGAGGTATGTAAAAAAAAAACACGAGGATTAGAGAAACTAATTTATTTATTCGAGTGCTGATGGACGAGCCGGTTGAGGCGTTTTATGAAATGTTTCTATCTCAAATATATACATTATGTTTCCTTCGGTGACAATTGACATTACGAGATGTTATTTGAATGTACTGTACAAATGTTTTTTTATTGATTTATTAAATTTTATTTTAAGAAAGAAGTCACTAATAATAAAATATTGTTTGTGATATATATACGTATATACTGTATATATATTTTGATGAAAGAAAAAATTGTGATGAGGGGGGAAAAAAAGAGAAAAGAAAATAAATAATACCTAACCTTATGCACATTTATAAAATGGATATCCAAATATGTCTTCTATTATACGATTTAAAATGATAATAATAAAAATAATAAAATTAGTAACCTTAAATCAAAGAAAAAAATGAACTTATTAATATTATTTTGCAAGAGCCTTTACCCTTACCATAAACGGCATATTTAAAGAATTTCACTTCACTTATCTTGAAAGATCTCGTATTCCATAACTCTCTTTTATCTGATGAAATGAACAATTTTAATAAAGATTTTTCCAATTTCAATTCTTTTAATCGATGGTTAAACCTTTCACTAAATTTAATAAAAATCTTTCTGATTCTATCATTAGGTTGATGTATTTTTAATATTTCCATCGTGGATAAATTTGGTAAATAAGCGTTAGCTAATAATTTCTCAATGGAATCCTGTCCAATGTTACCGGATAAACCAAAATATTGTAAAGTACTCGGTAAAAAAGATTCCATTGTCCTTGAATAACGAATGGTATGTAAATAAAATGAGATCAAAGGAAGTTTTTTAATAACATTTAATGAAGGGACAATAGATTCTTCTTTTAATGAGATATGAAGATGCGTAATATTCGGACAATATAACTCAATAGTAGATAAGATTACGGAATTGGCTTCTTTAAAATAAAATTTTTTTAAAGAGTGATCCGAAAGCCGTAAAATAATATTGATCAATTGTTTAGAGATGTTAGAAATATCTCCTTCATCACAATAAACATTTTGTACTTGAGGGAGATAATTTTGAGGTATTATAAGGTGTGATAAATTAAAAGATGATGATTTAAAGAGAAACCTTTTAAATTCCAAAGTACGCAACGAATTAATCTGTTTCATATAATGAAAAAATGATTGATCAAAGTGTATTAAAGTGAAAAATTTAATGAATTCTAATGAATTTGAATGTGATAATAATGAGGTAAAGATCAAATCCGTTGAAGATTTCATCCAAAATTCATTTGTGCAAAAACTCTTTAAAGATTTTTGTGATCGAATGAGTTCAGCGACGGATAGATCTAATTCTGTTGAATTCTTAACCGATTGATCATGATGCATAAAAGTGGTTGGCCTTTGATAAAGTTTTGAATCCTCTGAAGTTTCAGGGAAATAAAATGATAAATGTATAATATTCCTTGTAGATTTGGACATTTGTTTAAATAATTTTGGTAATGTTGTAAAGTACATTTCATTTGAATATCCATGTCCTAGGAATTCCAATGTACTAATTAATGATAAATCTGAATATGGTAACTTTTCCAAAAAATCCGCACGTGAAAATCCACTATAATTAACATATTTAAATTTTTTTAATGAGGAAGAATGGTTAAATATTAAGTCCATCACCATAGAATCCAAGGTTCTTTGGGTGCGCGAGATATTCCACTCTTTATTTACACAATGAAAATGATCTTTAACCCACTTCTTCATCGCAAAGGTGTAGTTAACTATGTTAAACCCTTCCAAATATTTTGGATAATAAAATAAAGGATTTGCAGGATGTAAAGGTATCATTAACCCTAAGCTCTTTAAGAATTTTTTATTCTTTACATCAAGGCAAGAGATATACGTATTAATTATTTTTGGAGTGTATGACTGTGAGTAGCGTTTGAATGGTGTACTCCAAAGTATTGGTGTGACTAATCTACACCACAATCGATTAACTCTCATGCATGAGAAGAGAGTCCTTCGATCGTCCTTTAAGTAAGAAAATACTTCAAGTAAACAGTCGGGTATGAGAGATACACATGTTTTTGGGCGTGTTGAATAATTTTTTGGTGCTATTATCAGCGCAAGAAAACAAATCATTAACTCTGCCAATATTTTTGGATCTATGAGAAAAGTGTAGAAGTGACGGGGTTGTATTTCATCATCATCAATACTTTGTATAAATAAAGGGTGATTTCAAGAAAAGTCAATACAGAGAGAAACAAAACATGAAACTTACTAAAATCCATCTTTGAGAACCAATATGGTATTACAAAAAGGAAAAAAAAAGGGAAGGGGAGGAAAGATAGAACAATTTTTCAAGGAGGTACTTGTCGTTATAAATAGATATTTTTTTTTTTTAAAAAAAAAAAAATCTAACCAAAAAAACAAAAATAGTTCTAAAATTCTCAGAAATAAAGTTCGAAAGATAAACATAAAAAAAAAATAACAATAAAGAAGGGAAAGGCTTGAAAAAACACTACTAAAGAATTTATTCCTAAAACCTGAATAAAAACTACGTTTAGTATATAAAAAAAAAAAAAAGAAAAAAAAAATGTCAAAATAAGTTTAATAAGCAACATATGACAGAAAAAAAGGCAGTGTAACCCGCCAAAGAAATCGCCAACCGTGCACTTGACGGGTTTATAACCAAGTATACGATCAAGTTGTGCGTTACGTGGCAAGTTTTATTTGTCGATCTGTTATAACTCATAACTCGAAGGGTTACTGCGATAAAAATATTGTCGATAATTTACCCACGTTTTTTTTTCTAGATCTGATAACACATAATCAAATTAGCTTATCAAGAATGACTCTCAGACATAATTGTAAGACCGATTTTCGAAGTGAAAATCAATTATAACGGGACAAAGCCTCCATATATAATTTACACAAATTCCTGACAGGCATTTATGAACCCAATTTTCATTTCGTATGGGAGTAATTTTATTAAATCAATATTAAACGATTTAGCGAAAAATGGTCGAATGTCGATCACTTTAGAAACTTGTATCGAATTTTAAAGAATAGAAAGAACAAGGTTTTATTAATAAAAATATAAGACACTCAGCCGGCGCTCCATAATAGGCCTTAAGAGAAAAGAATATTCCTAATTCCATCGAAAATACAAAGCAAGACAAAGTTTCTGTTATAATAAATTTTCTTTCAAAGCCTTCATCACGAAATTCCCTTAAAAATATCAATTGCTGATGGACGGAAAGGCAAATTTTTAAACTGATGTTCGAAGTCCAGATCTGTTTAATTGGGTCCGAACTTTCAGAAAAGTCCGAAATGTCAGATCTGGCAGTGTGAGATAATCAGGCGCAGTCAAAGTGACAATTATATTGCCTAGCAACTTCATTTTAGTCGAATTAAAAAATATAAAATATCACTTTTGTTGAAATTTATTATAAGTTTTGGTTAGATTTAAAAGAATTTAAATTTGACTAAGGTTACATTTAAATTTTTTATCTAAACTTTTTACCAAATAATAAGGCCTGCCAATTTTAGGTTTAACCGAGCATTAATTTAAATAATTTAAAAGCTCCAGTTTATATGGTTCAAATTTTAAATGATATGATACTATTAAAATATTAAACAAAAAATTTATTTTTTGACCGGCATTACAAGTTACATAATGTAATTTCAAATGCTTATCACAATTTTTTTCGCAGATATTTTTTTTTTAACCAGTCATTTTTAAAACTCTCAAAATATCAAAAATTTCTGATTTGTATGCAATCAAATATCATCAATAACTTTCTTTTATGTATTGCCTTCTCTGTATTTATTATTATTTATTTTTGGAAAAATTGTACTAAATTAATTAATCATTCTTTACTACGGCCCACGTCATTTGATTGATTGTTTATTTGTCCCGTGTTTCAAGAATTATGAAGATCATTCTTTTGAATTATTGAACAATCACTTGGTAGATAATAATTAATTTAATTTATGGTGGCGAAATATGCACATAATATTTATATTGAATGAACTGTGTTTATTAATGATTAAGTTTTTGGGGTGAAACACACTCTATCTTTCGGATAAAAGAAATTATCTAAATTTGAAATTTGATGAATGATTTTATGGGTAGGGCTTTGACATTATCACATGATTTATACATGTGTAGAGACCAATGATTTCGTTCTAGATATATATATTTTATTTTCGAGGGAAATACTTTCTTTTTTTTCGAAAATCAAAAGATCAAAAAAATAAATATTACTGGTGCTCCATTTTCTTGGTGTAATTTGCCATTGGTTTTTCTAATGCAAGGATAAGTTTCTCGATAATGTTTTATATGTTCCACTACGCAAATGGTCCGTCCTCACATGATAAATCGTCTAGACAAATTCGGCATAAAAAAAAATTGTTGTCGAATGATTTCATTGATACAAAATGACAAAATGCACATGGCGCATGAAAGCACACTATTGCAAATTTCCCAGTTTGAAAAAAAGATTTCGAAGAATATTGAAATTTACAATAAATGAATAATCCATTATAATTTAAAAATAGCGTGGAAGAATAAGAAAAACATCGCCACATTGTTTTATTTTTATCTTTATCGTCATAATTCACCCCACCCCCAAAAAAATAATCCGAAAGTCATGCTCCTTGGTAAGAAATAAATAATTAATAATAGTAATAAAGGTTTATTTATACATCATTTTAATGGAATACAACATCCGGGATTCATTAAAAAAAAAATGGAAAGAATGGAAAAAATGGGAAAAAAATTTTTTTTTTCTTATGATTTTGAATACACATTCATAATCATTATTTGACGCCTCATTTTGAAAACCGTCATGCGTAGTTTTCTTGTATATGTCTCAATCGATCTTGATTTACACATGCGCGATTAAGAAGTTGTGTTCAAAGTTCCATTTGAATTTACTTGATACAATAATTGATAATGATAACTATTCTAATCGGTTATCTAATCCTGTCAATGCAATTAATGCAATTCAAAATAAACAAAAACTCGAATAGCCTTTTTGAAGACAAGAAGCGAGAAGGTTGGAATTGGACCTCCTAACTTATTAAGGGGAAGCGTTTGAAGGTTACATGTATTGCTTAAAATATGATTACACAGACTTTGAAGGAGGGTGGAAAAAAGTTCTTTTTTACAAATTTAGATTATTAGATTTTCCGAAATTCTATTTTTTTTGTTTTATTTCGTAATCTACTGCGCCAACCATCATTTGGTCCAATGCTTATCACTCCCGCCAAAATATCAAAATGTTTTTTTCCTTTACTGATTATTGCGCATATCTTCCGAATATTTGTTTTTCTTTTTACATGAAAAGAGATTTTATTGGTTATCGCACTTCTTCTCTCTCTTTTTAAAGTTGAAAAAAGAAAATTGAAAGTTGTGACTGATATTAAAAAAGTAAATAAAATAAAAAACGTGGTGAGGCTTAAATGTTTACATAGATTGCGATTGGTACGTTGACCAAAGCACAAGACACAAGAATGTACAATATATTTCAAATTTTTATCAATTGTTTACGTTATACTCAAATGTACCAACAATAAATCATGTAGAAAGTTTGAGACAGTCTGACAAAAATGGAAAAATGCAATTAATTTATCTTTTTGTTACTCCAACCCTTATTTTGAAATGTACATTGTAAAAATTTTATTAGGAACGCATCAAATGAAGACCATCTAAGGTTAATCACTGTTTACGACAATGCCATGCATAACAAATCACCAATAATGCAAAAATGCTCTTAAAATGAGAAAGTAAGAAGAGACCTTATATACATATATATATATATTATATTTTAAAAAAAAAAAAAAAAATTTCCCTTTTATTTTTTTTTTTTTTTAAAACAATCCTCCTCCCTCCGAACATTTTCCCTATTTATTTATTACCATTTAATACCGACTCATCATACCCCTTTACTTTATTATCATAATCCGCATTCATTCGTTCATTATTGATTCGAAAAATAAAATAAATACTTAAAGTTGTGCTACACATAACAAAAGAGCAAAGAAAGTTAAAGAATTTGCGAAACCAGCTGCAAAATCAAGCTGCAAATACGACCAAACTTTTTTTTTATTAACGACAAGTTTAATTTTTTTCCCCCTTATCATAACTCTACATTCCTTTTTTTTTTTTTTTTCTTTTCTTTTCTAAAAAATCTTCCGAGACTTTTTTTTTTTTTTTCTCTCCTTTCATAAAAGAACATCATCCTTGTGAAGAAATATTCACTTTTTTTTATTTCATTTTATTTTTTTTTTTTATTTATTTTTTTTTTTTTGAAAAACCTTAACCAAAAATTTAAAAAATAAAAATTAATTTAATTAACGTACATATTTCAAAAACAAAAAGACCTAGCGTGAAAAAAAAAAACTTATCGACGAAAAAAAAAGTCTTTTAACGTTTATTTATTTATTTAATTTTTTTTTTTTCTCTTTGACTAGTCTCTCTTTACTTGGGCTGGTTCCAGGAAAAAAAATTATAAAATATTCAAGCACTTCAAAAAAAAGAAAGAATTAAAAGAATTTAAAAGGAAAATAAAGAAATTAGGGCCTTTGATATTGAAAAATTTTTAAAACAAGCAATCAAAAAAAAAAACCAAAATGACCAATTCAACTTCTGAAAACACGACAGTACAAGTGGGTAAGAATCAAAATATCAACAATTTAATAATTCAATTGATATAATTTTCATTCAAAGATAAACTAACTCTTTTTGTCCTTTACTTTTATAGCTCTTCGTATAAGACCTCTCACACAGGAAGATTTAATTACTTTGCCTTCAAGATTTCAGAGAAATGTCATATCTACTTCTCCATTTACACCAAATCAAGTTATTGTCCATGGGGATAAGAAACAATCATTCAGCTTCGATCATGTATTTGGACCTGAATCGCTGCAGAAGGAAATTTACGATAGGGCCATTAGAAATATGGTGGATAAATTCTTGGAAGGTACAGTATGGCTATTGAAATTACTACGGATGATATCATTATTGACGCGACTCACAGGGATATCACGTGCAATCACAGCAAAAAGATAATAATATATCATGTCATGTATTTATTCATATTTTTTCTTTCTTCTTCCTTTTAACAAGGTTTCAACGTAACTATTCTTGCTTATGGTCAAACTTCATCGGGTAAAACGCATACAATGGGGACAGCCGATAATGTCGCTTCGGATCAAGAGTCACGTGGTATAATTCCACGTGCTCTCTACACACTTTTCTCTTATATAAATTCTACTCAGTTTAAATCCCGTAAAATTACAATAAAAGTATCGTTTATCGAAATCTATAATGAGGATTTGATCGATTTGTTAGCCGAAGGTGATGATGAGAACAAACCACAAGTAATGATCCGAGAAGATTCAAAGGGTAATATAATCTGGAGTGGTTTACAAGAAATAAAAGTAAATAGTGTGGAAGAGGTTATGGGGTAAGTTAACCATCATTATTTATTAACCCAGACATTCTTAAGTGAATAAGGCATTCTTAATAACAAACCTTTTTATTCATTTGATTTCAGACATTTGGCACGTGGATCATTAAACAGACAAGTTGGTGCAACCGATATGAACTCACAATCTTCACGATCACACGCGATCTTCTCTGTAACCCTGTGTCAGCAAAAACAAATGTCTTCAAATGGTATTACAAGTTCAACACCTAATTCCCCAACCACCCGTCCATCGACGCCAACAAGAATTAGTTCAACGCCATCAAGGGCCGGTTCTAGGCTAAGTAAAATGATTGATGATGGTGATTGGGTCTGTGTTACGAGTAAATTTAATTTCGTGGATTTGGCCGGTAGTGAAAGGGTAAGTGGATATACTCAATGAATGATGCGCGTACATTTCTCTTGGTAAACTTCCAAAAGCTAAATTAGTATCTTCTTCATTGAAAAAGCTTAAACGTACCGCTGCTTCAGGAGATCGAGCAAAGGAGGGAATCTCTATTAATTCCGGTCTTCTCGCATTAGGAAATGTAATTTCTTCCTTAGGTGATCCATCAAAAGCGAAGAATACGACTCATATTCCTTATCGTGATTCTAAACTCACTAGGTTATTACAAGACTCTCTTGGTGGGAACGCTCAAACATTAATGATAGCGTGTGTTTCACCGGCAGAGTATAATATAAGTGAAACAATTAACACACTAAAGTACGCTAACAGAGCTCGTAATATTAAGAATTCCGCTACTGTGAACCAAGAAGAAGCAGGGTGGTATGATTTAGAACATTTACAACATCTTGTCTTAAAGTTAAGGGCCGAAATTAAAGCTTTAAGGCTGGCGACCGGAATTAACGCTTCTAGTCCCGCTACTCCGATATCAGGAAGAAATACACCTACACTTCCACCTAATGGTATTGATTCGTTCAGTCACGGACGAAGACCTTCATCACCACTTAGCATAATAACTAATATCCCAAATGTGTATTCATCAAGTAGGAATAAAGATATCGAAGGTCTTGAAGATCAATTAAAAGAGTTGCAGCGTTCTTATATTGAACTTACTCAAAAGTATGCAAAAACTTCGGCTGAACTTACGCAATATCAAGACAATTTTGATAATATAAAAGCTGATGATAAAAATAATATTTTTAATTTTAACGCTGAAACATTTCAGAAGACTGTTGAACCTGTAATTGCCGAATATGAGAAATCTATCTCTGATCTTGAACAACAACTTTCTTATACACGTTCCTGTTTAAATAAGTCGGAAAAAATGATGCATGAACATGAGTTGAAACTTTATGAAGCTGAAGAGTTAAATGGACAAAACAAAAGTTTGGTTAATGATCTCAAGAATAAAGTTGCAAGACTTAATGAACGTGAGGAAACAACAGAGAATTATATTAAAGATCTCGAGATTAAAATTGATGCTCATTCTAGTGAACAGAAGAAAGATCAATTATTGATTAATGAACTCCGAAATAAGATTGCTCAACTTCGTTCAACTGAAGAGAATAGTGAAAATGTTATTCAGAAACTCGAAATGCGATTGTCCAAAAGTGAAGGCAGAGTTTCATCCATGAATGAAGCTTCACAACGATTGGAAAAAGCTTTATGTGAACAAGAGGAAGCTTATAAAAAATTAGAATCTAAATATCAAAAGGAGAGAAGTAATGATGATGAATATACAAACTTATTATTGGCAGAAATTGAAGATCGTGATAGTAGAATTGCCGAACTTGAGAAGAAAGTTGATGTATTAATTACCGAAATTTCTCAATTGAAACAATTAAAAGTTGACACAAAAATTCCATGTAAGAAGCATCATAGGTCTTCATCAACCTCTTCATCAGCTTCCGATGAAGTTGATACACCTTCTTCAACCCCACCTAGCTCTACAACCCCAATGCCTACTTTAGATTATTCCACAATATCGAATTTGGAAGATAAATTATATGATTTGCAAAAAAATCATGAAAAAACTATCATAGAATTTGATGACATTAAAGAAAAGTATAAATTATGTCTTGAAGAAATAACTAATCTTCATACGCAACTTTCAGGAACTAAGGTTTTACAATTGGAAGTTGTTGATATTGATAAGTTGGCGCAGAATGATACTTCAAATGAAATGTTTAACGATCCTAATGCCTTATCTCCATTCTCTCATGGATCTCATCGTAAAGCAAGATCACTTTCTGCTGAAATTCAAGGAGCAGAAAAGAAGGAACTTTCTAGTTTGGCAATGGTTCAAAAATTGCAAATTGAACTTAAACAATTAGAGTCACTTCATGATGATAAAGCAGCGGGCTTGGACGCTGTCAAACAAGAATTTGCTCGCTTGGAGATTAACCATCTTGAAACTCTTGAAATTGTTGAAGAATTACGCGAGGAAATCAAAAGAAGAGACGCACTTGCTCATATTGAAGTCATGTCTGTAATGACCGCATCAGAGTATTCTTATACGGACGGTGGTTATTCCGCTGCAACTAGTGAAATTGATCAACTTGATGTAGTTCATCGTCTTCGCGAAGAAGTTGAACAACTAAAGGAAGAACAACGTCGTGCCCTTGACCTTCTTTCCAAGAATGCAATTGACTCCAAGAGTGAAGAAATTATGAAAATTGAATCAAGCATTGTAGAACTTAAAGCTGAGATGTCACGTGCAGTTTCAGAAAGGGATCAAAAGGAAATTGATGGTGTTTCTAAATTACAATCTCGAGTAAAAGATTTAGAAGAACAACTTATCGTCGCCCAAGAAGCTCAAAGACAAGCTCGTGTAAACGAAGCCGTGTCACGGTTGGAAGGATTTTCTGCTTTTAATTCAACCCCAGAAACTTTGGAACTCACTCAACAAGTTGATAAACTTCAAGGTGAAATTGAAGCTAAAAGTCATACTATTGCTGCCATTCTTTTCCCTTCAATCGAACATCAGAATACCATTCAAAAACTTGAAGAAGAACTTCAAGAGGCTAGAGACACCTATCGATTCGTTTTCGAAGGGAAAAATAGTAAATTAACTACAATATCTGAAGAAGCCGAAGATGAATATAATTCCAATGAATCAACTGACAAACATATTTTAGATTTGGAAGAAAAGATCAAAGAACTTGAAAATCAACTCACAAAGGCAAAAGAAGCTCAACACGTTCCAACTCCACGTCATTCTATTAGCGAATACGTAGATCCTACAGACAAAACTGTCGATGGTCTTCAAACAAAACTCGAAAGTTTGCAACAAGAACTTGCTAATAAATCTGAGACAATTGAAAATTTAAGAGAAGAACAAGAGATGGTGGTTGCACTTCAAGACCAACTTGAAATACTTAAGGTGGAAATTAATCATAAAAATGAGTTGATCGATATATTGAAACGAGATCTTGTCGATAAATCATCACTTCAACAGAGATTACGAGAAAAAGAGGCTGAAGCCTTAGCTTTCCGAACAAAGCTTATGGAAGTTCATAAACAAGAAGAGGTTTTAGAGAATGAAATGAAAGAACTCAAGAATCGAATTTACAAATTGGAAAATGGAACTGATGTTAACAAAGTTCTCCAATCTGAATTGGAAACTTTAAGAAATGAACTTAAAGAAGTTCGAGGCAGAGAAGCTATAGCACTTGATCGGCTTCGCGTTCTTAAAGCTAGATTGGGATCTGATAATGAAGAATCTCATTTACACGAACAATTAGAGCATTTGAAAAGCATTGAAATTTCTCAAAGAGAGAGGATCATGATCCTGGAAAGTAAGCTTGCAGAAAAAGGAGGAATAATAGATGAAGACCTCGTGAAAATTAGAACTGAATTAACCATAGCAAAGAAATCCGAAGCTGAACAAAACGAAACAATTGAAACATTGGAACTTCAATTAAAGAGTGCGGAAGAAAATTCTCAAGTCGCTGCACTTCAACGTGAACTCTCAGAATTAAACCTTAAAGAGGCTGAACAGCAAAAGAAAATTCAAGATCTAGAAAGCAAATATAAAGCTCAATCAAATAAGGACTTGCAACAAGTTAAACAATTGAAAGAAGAACTCGAAAATATGCGTAATAATGAACGTGAACAACGTAAAAAAATTGATACTCTTGAAATTCGACTGGAACTTGTTAAAGATGAAAATCCAGACATTGCAAATTTAAGAGATCAAATTGCTGGATTGAAAGGTTCCGAAGCAGATCTTCGCAGGACGGTTTATGACTTGGAATCCAAATACGCATCGGCTCAAAAAGAAGTTAAAATTTTTGAAACAGTAAAGGAAGAAGTTGTTCTTTTGAAACAATTGGAAATTGAGCAAAAGTCAACAATCGAACAATTACAATCTCAATTGAAAAAAATTAGATCATCCAAAGAAGCAGCTATTAGAGAACTTCAAACTATGAAAGGAGGGTTTAGTTTACAAAAAGAACTTGTAGTCTCCCTTGAAGAAGAATTAAGAAATTTAAGACTTGAATTTGCTTCAGCTAAAGAGAATACGTCTACATCTTCCGAGGAACTTGACGAAATTTCAAGGCTATTAAGTGACACTCAAAAAGCACGTGATGATGCGCAAAGGAGAGTTAAAACTTTAGAAATTGAACTTGAAACTTATAAGATTGCTGGAGTCGGTGGAAAAGAAAATGTTGGCGCTTTAAGAGAAGAATTAGCAAACACAAAACTTGAAATGTTGGCTCAAACAGAAATGATAAATGAATTAGAAACTCAAATGGGGGTTATCGACAAGGAACGTGACCAACACCTGAAACGTGTTAATGAGTTAATGAATGTTCTTGAAGAAAGAGAAACTTATCAAAAAGATGCTATCGGAGAACTTGAATCTACTTTAATTACTTTAGAATCCGAACTTTCTCTTGCAAAAAATTCTTCAAATTTGAATAAGGAAACCATAAATAGCCTTGAAGAAAATCTTTCTGTGGTAAGATCACAGCTCAAAGAAGCTAAAGAGTCCAAAGAAAAACAAACAAATGTTATTTCCGAGTTAGAAAGTAAATTACAAGAAGTTATGAATATAATTTTGGAAAAAGAAGAAGGAATAAATAACCAAGATACAATCATAGCTGAATTGGAAGAATTAATACAAAAAACTCAGAATGAGCTTCAAACTTCTAAGAAATTTGAACATGACCTTACTGTAGCTTCAACGACTACTGAAATCGAATCATATAAAGAGGAAATTAGTAGGATCAAATCATCAGAGGCGAAACAAAATCAAAAAGTTAAAAGTTTAGAGCTTAAGCTTCGTGAAATGAAAGATCGTCGTAATGAAGAAATGCACCGATTAAAGGAGGCTAACAATGAAATCGTTTTGCTTCAAGAAAAATGTTCACAATTACAAAACGAACTTGATGAAATAAATCATCATTCATTTATTGAGAAATATGAAAAGATTGACGATAAGATGATCGAAGAACTTACCAACCAACTCAGAAAAACTCATGAAGAAGTAATTATTAATCGGGAACGAATTTCTGAGTTAGAAAAGACTGCTCAACAACTTGAAGCCGATAAATTGGTTCAATTCGAGAGAAATGAAGACTTAGAAGACGAAGTTGATAAACTTCAAAAGGATCTGGAAACATTAGCTGAAGAATTCAATGATGCTGCTTCAAAGTTTGAAGATGCGGATGAATTATCAAGACAACAAAAAGGTCGTATTATTGAATTGGAATCTGCTCTTGAAGAAGCCAAAAATTATGATTACTTTACACCTCGAGATTCAGTTATTACAAATTCAGCATTATCAAAACTAGCAACTGCAAACGAACACTTGCGTCAAACCAATGATGAACTTAATAAAAAGATCGCCGAAGCGGAATATACAACGCTCATGCTAACTAATAAAGTTAAATCTTTGGAAAAAGAATCTCGCCTCAATTCAAGTTATGGAGAAGAAATAAAAAGATTAGAGGAAAATATAAGAGATCTTGAATTTGAAAAAGAAGGTTTAGAAGAAAGTAATGAATCATTCTTCAAAGAACGTAATAAACTAGATCAGAAAATTGAATCCTTAATTCTACAACTACGTTCAGTAGGAACCGGTGGAAATAAAACGGCAGGTCAAATTGCCCAATTAAATGAACAAATTTTACGACTTGAGAGAGAGCTTTTCGATTTGAAACAAAATTCAAGAGCAGAATCCAAAGAAATGGAGAAAGAAATTGCTCATTTGTTAAGAGTGAATGAAATGCTCAAAAAAGAAATTAAAGAGAATGATGATGGCTCTAAAAGTTTAAATGGATATAACAGTCCACCATTAACAAGTCCACGCGAAAGTTTAAGTAGCGTAAGTTCACGTTCGGGCGTTGATAGTTCAGTACATGCCAAACTTTCACGACAAGAAAGTACAATTGCACAACAACATAGTCTTATAAAAACGCTTAAAGAAAAGATCATAGAACTTGAAAAAGCACCATTTGATAACGAACCAGGAAACAGAAATTCAGCATCATCATCCACTTCCAACTCATCAGAAATGAAAAGGAGTATGCGTTCTATGGCCGGAAATCGGTCAAAACCACCACCACCAATGCCACCACCAAACCATCCGCCACCACCACCTCCATCATATCCACAAAGCCCCTGTACACCACCAGCAACGCCTGGTTTGCCTATGGGATATTCACCACGTACACCACTAATACCACGACCTGATTCTGTTTTATCAAGGAAAGGTTCTGACTCAAGTAATTATCATTCAGAGCTTGCGACAGAAATCCAAAAATTACACAAGAAAATTTCTCATATGGAGGGCGAAAATATGGAAAATCGACAACTTGTTGAAACTTTGGAGTCTTCTCTTAATGATAATGAAACAAATCTTCGTGTAGCAAAACAACAATTGACAATATTACAAAAAGAAAAACAAGAATATGTTGAACAAATCAAGAATTTGAAAGTGAATTTAGATGAAGCTCAGTTACAAGTAGAGCAAACTAGGTCAACTGTACAGGAGGAGAAGAGGGCGATGGATAATATGTTGGAGGAAGAACGTAAGGCGAAAGAAAGAGCCGAAAAAGCACGTTTAGATCTTGAAAGCCAGATGGAACAACTCATGGCTAAGAAGAGCAAGTTTATGTGTTTCTAAGAACTTTATTACCTGAATTTTTTATTTCTTCTTTTATCCCCATGATTTTACATTGCAAGAATTTTACGTGCCGACCTTACATTTCTTTTATTAATTCTACAAAAAATCAAAAAAAAATTCTTTTTCAAGGATTGTGGGGATAAGGATTAAATAAATGTAAAATTCTCGGATTAACATTCATCTCTTTGGGGTTAAAATAATATTATGGACAATTTACACCCTAAGGGCTCATCATTTTTCTATGAACAATAAATTTTCTATCGAGGTACTTTCAAAGTTGATTTCTACCAAAAAAAAAAAATATTCACCATAATAATGGAAGAATTAGTTAGCAGTCTGTATCTTGATTAATAAGAATATTATTATCTTTCTTCATCAAAAAAAAAAAATCTCATTCAATCTTTTTTATAATTCATCATTTTATATGTACATTATTTTATAAAGATTTTGTTTTGTACAAATTACAAACAATTCAATTAATCATAATTTATTTATTTATTTATTCTGGATGTGAGAGGGTAAGGTTTTATAGAAATTTGCATTAAATATTACATTTTCATCATTTCAAACATTTTTCTGTAATTTACTATACATTAAATTTTTTTAGATTTGTATATTTGAACAAAAAAAAAAACTTCTGGGAAAACAAAAAAAAATTTTTTTTACCACAATTCTATTTTTTTTTATTTTTTTTTTCTTCTTATTTTACAAATATATATATATATATATATAATTTATTTATTTTTTAACGTTTTATAATATATCATATAATAAACAATTTTGATATATTTATTTTGAAATTTATTGAAAAAAGTTATTTCTGACTTCAAAGAATCTTGCAAAAATACATTCGACATTCAAATTCTCAATTATAAATTTCATATTTTCAGTATCTTTCATATACAAATTTTAACCCTCCTTCCTTTAAAACATTGTTATTAATTCTTCTAGTTGTATTATTATTTGGAAGTAACTTGCATAGTTTTCCTCCACGTGCGTTTTGAATTCCAAATCTTGTTCGATGAATAAATAAATTTTTATCTAACGTTACTAATTCTTCAACTGGATTCATGTTTCCATCTTATTTCTTAAATACTTTGAATTCAAAAACTGAAATTCTATCGATCGCGTTCTTTTTCCTTTTTGCAATGCTACAATATACAGCGATATATCATCTCTAATATTTTCAAGTCTCAAGTATATTCTAGGTTTGTTTCATCACTTGAAGACGGGGAATGAAACGGTTCACATTATAAAACGCAACAAATTTTGTTTATCATAGAAATGTTGAAATTCCTTTATCACCCAATTATGTACAAAGTGTAAAGACATTATTAAAAAAAAACTCTTCGAATCCAAACTTAAATAGTTACTTCCTACTGAATTCAACGCCAAACCTGATTCCCAACATGCGCATAACCTTGTTATAAATTCACTTGGCCAATCAATTTGTGAAAGCGATTGATCTGAATAAAAATAAAATAAAAATTTTTAACGAACTTTTCATATGTCAAGCTATTAATAGAAAATAAATAGATTGAAGATTAATTAATCGTGTTATACCATTGTATTTCCTGCTTTGTATAAAATTGATTGCGGATCAATTTGTAATCTTGTTCTCACGAACTTTTTCACATTTTTCCAAGGGCTTTTACCATTATGAAAAAAATGAACCAATTTTATATAATTAGATATACATTTTGTAAACAATTATCCAATTATTTACATAACACGTAATTCCATTTAATTTAGCCCTCCTTTATTTGTTATATAAAAAGGAGGTTCAGAGAGGATTGTTTTCTTTGAAAATTATCAAAACGACGACAAAAAAAAATTTTATTAATAAAATTTTTTCAGAAATGGATAATATAAGGCATAGACATATTACTTCTTTCCAAAGTGGATATGATCCAGTCTTGGAACCAATTGTATTCGACGAAAAACGCAAAACCAAGAAACCATTTCGTATATCCTCTATTAAAGTACGAATTGGATTTTTATGATTATAATAATAATATTCTTATTGATTTATGATTGTTATTTTTGATTAATTCCTTTATTCAATGTAGTTAAAAAACACACTAGCGCCAGCTCTGGCTACGATTCGAAATTTTTACAATAAATATTACAATATCATTCATCCTCTATCTTTCACTTTCTTATCTTTTTTAACGAGATTTTATTTAATATCATTGTCTGATGTCGTAATGTGGGATGAGGTAAATCATTTTTTATTATTAATATCTCAATTAATGAAATATTTTAATTCTAACCTCCTCATTGTAAAATTTATTGATCAAGTCACACTTTGGCAAAGTAAGTACAAACTATTACTTTGCTCATATTTGATTATGTATTATAATATATTTGACTTCATTTTGAATTTCTATTTAGTTTGCATCGCACTATCTTAATCGAGTATTTTACTTTGATGTACATCCACCTCTTGGTAAAATGATGGTTGCATTGGCAGGATTGCTTGCTGGGTATGATGGATCATTTAATTTTGAATCTGGTACTAGATATCCAGAAGATTTAAATTATACATTTATGAGAATGTTTATGGCATCATTTGGGGTTTTGATGGTTCCTTTGGCTTATTTCACGTCAATTGAATTGGGTTTTTCGAAACATGCCGTTATTTTAGTAACTTTAATGGTATTGTTTGGTAAGTGATAACAATTGGAATTTTTTTTTTAAAAAAAATGTGTAAGTGTAAATGTAAAAAAAAACTCAATATATTTAATACTTTATTTGTTTCTTTAGATACCGCTTATCTTTGTATCAGTCGTTTTATTCTATTGGATGCGATGTTATTATTTTTCACTTTTATGACTATATTTTGTATGACCAAATTTCATAATCAAAAGTGCGAGTACGTTATTTTTCAAAATAATAATTTTGATAAATTTACCATTCAAGTTAAATATATAAACTTTTTTTTTCTTGTAGTCCTTTTTCAGCTAATTGGTGGAGATGGCTCATCATGACCGGAATTTCTATCGGTTGCGTTTCAAGGTAAATTCTTTTATTTATTAACAAACATTTATTCTAACGATAAAGTCTAACAGAATTTTTATAATTTAAGCGTCAAATGGATTGGATTATTTACGACGGCATTGGTTGGATTATATACAATTGAGGATCTTTGGAACAAATTGGGAGATTTGAGTATTCCAAAGGTATATAAAAAAGAAAACCCTGATTTCACGTGATAAGATACTTTGCTTTTCGGATTTTTCTTCTTCCTTCAACTCTTACACTTACTTTATTTGTTGTATGTAGATAGATTATTTAAAACATTGGGTAGCGAGAATTATTTGTCTTATAGTTCTCCCAATACTGATTTATATTGGGTGTTTTGCTATTCATTTCGCAATTCTTACTCATAGCGGCCCCGGAGATTCTCAAATGAGCTCTCTCTTTCAAGCTGGACTTATTGGAAATGACTTTGCAGAAAATCCTCTTGGTTCGTTTAAACTTTTGATTTTATTTTTATATAATTAATTACTGATCGTAATTTCTCTTGTTTAGAATTGGCGTATGGGTCACGTATAACACTTAAGAATACGGGATTCGGTGGTGGACTTTTACATTCTCATGTTGAAGAATATCCAGGAGGATCAGGGCAACAACAAGTAACCTGTTATCATCACGAAGATATTAACAATGATTGGATTGTGTTGAAGCCAAGAGAAATTGAAATTTACGACAATGAAACCGATGTCGATGTTGAATTTGTGAATAATGGTGATACGATTAGATTGTTACATCTTGGGACTGAAAGAAATTTACATAGTCATGAAGTTCCCGCCCCTCTAACCAGAGCACATTGGGAAGTGAGTTGTTATGGAAATGATACAAACGGAGATGAGAAGGATTATTGGGTAATTGAAGCAGTAGATGATATATACAAGAAGACAAATCGGATTCGATCGTTATCAACTAGTATTCGGTTTCGTCATAAAGTGTTGGGATGTTATCTTCGAGCTGCTAACATAGGTTTACCAGATTGGGGTTTTAGACAAGTTGAGGTAACCTGTGATAAACGTAATAATCCAAAAGATATCTTTACTCATTGGAATATTGAACGACATTGGAATAGCAGATGTAAGGATTTTGCTGCATTAAGTCTTTGTTAAATTTATCTTTAATTAAAAGCCTAATATTATTATAAATTTATATTTCATAGTACCACCTGGTGGTAAAGCTAATTATAAATCAAAGTTTTTACGCGATTTCTGGAATTTGAACGTTGCCATGTATAACGCGAATAATGCACTAGTTGCTGATCCTGATGGTTTTGATATTCTCACATCTAAACCAAGACAATGGCCAATATTAGAAGTTGGACTTAGAATGTGTAATTGGGCAAGTGATTTGATTAAATTTTATTTACTTGGAAATCCAGCTGTTTGGTGGTCTGGAACTGTCTCTTTGATAATGTTTATTTTGACACTATTCTGCTACTTGGTTAGACGACAAAGACAATATAATGATTTTTCACCAGGTAAATATAAATATGAAAATTTTATTTATACGTTCTTATTAATCATTCATAAAAAATAATTAATAATAATTTTTTCTTTTACAGTCCAATGGACATATTTTTTATATGTTGGCAGGATTTGTTTGATTGGATGGTTATTACATTATTTACCTTTTTATATAATGGGGAGGGTTACATATTTGCATCATTATTTTCCTGCATTATATTTTTCAATCTTAATGGCAGGATTTTTAATGGATCATTTTACCGCATCTTGTAGTTTAAAGACAAAAAATATAATATTTAGTATACATTATGCATTAATAATAACGATATTTTGGTATTTTAAAGATACAGCATATGGTGTATATTCTCCTAATATTGAATTGAGGGGTAAAAAATGGCTTAATACTTGGGATATTGTAGATTAGATTGATAAAATGCATTAAAATAACAATATAGTTAATAATAACAATAATAAATTTTTACTTTTTTCATCCAATTTTTCGAA